GGGTTTAAATAGAATTACCACACTCTAACTAATACCGAGGCCTTTTGTGATAAAAACCTCACACCTGACGGATTGGGCGGGTGGTAAAGTGGGGACAGTATCGGTGTTGTTAGAGTGGGACCCAACGGGCAGATCCAAATTTTCAACAAGAATGTGTTGAGAAAACTTCACTTCTACTCAATTTTCTTCAATTTTGATCCATTTATTGACATGGTTGATGGTTTTAGGGTGTAGAATCATCATTTAGAGCTTAGACTTAAGGTATCTAGAGTCATATTGGTTAATCGCTTCGATTTTAGGTTTGAAGTATCCAATTTTGGACTCTGCCCATAAGTTGACCCAAAATTTGGTACTTAGACCTAAAATCGAAGCTCTAAAAGATCATTTTATACCCTAATTAATCAAACTTGTCAATAAATGGGATCAAAGTTGAAGAAAGTTGAGTAGAAGTTTAGTTATGCGTTTTGTCTTTCTTAAAGGCAGGACGTCCTGCACAGAGAATTTCTGATAATGAAATAGCCTTTCGTTCCCCCTTATGGAGGTATTAAACTTTAAGGTTTTCTGTTCTTATTCTTGTTGTACAAGTTACTCTTCCGGTAAGGTAGGTCATGCTGGCAGAACATGGCAGTAAGCTTAATCCGTGGGAAATGTGTTTGGTCTTTTTTGTCATACAAGAGGGAGGACGAAGCTTAGTTATTCTAATACAGTGAAAAGGTTGAAAGAAGAAAATATAACCCACCCTGTGATATGTTTCACCATGTCAACAAGGCAATCTCACCTCCCTCCTCGCTGCCCAAGTCAAAAGAAACCGAATTCTGGCCCAATTCAAGACCCCAACTCCCTGCTTCCGCACATCAATGAATCATACCCACAACACCAAAGGTCTTCCTCCCAATCCCTCATGGAGGAGCAGCCAGCATGGCTTGATAACTTGTCTAATGACTCAGAATCCAGTTATAAAGGGATTGTTCACCGTCGATCTGTGAGTGACTCAGTTACCCTTCTACACGGCCTTGCAGACTCATTTTCAAGTCTGAGTCCCAAAAATGATGAATTTTCAGTTGATAATGGATCTTATAGTGGATGGAATTCTGTTAGTTTGTATGGTCCCAATTCCCCACAGCAAAGAGGCAGCTTATCAATTTCAGAGAATGCCTTAGTTTCAGCATTATCAGAGTATGCTTCTCATGAGCCTGTACAAAACATGGATGGGATACTATGTGTTCGTCACTCTGATTCAAAAGGTGATGATTGCCATTCAATTGGTGAGCTCAATGAAGAGATGAGGGCTGTAAAACGGTTAGTATCTGAACTTTCACTTGTCTATTTGTCAATTTAACTTTCTATTGATTCTTCATATAACATAAGTGCTCTTTGCTATTCCTCAACTTAGCAGTTCATGCCCATGGTCTTCAGCATCACTTTTCAGGCATGTGGTTCCAAAATTCTGATGAATAGGTGCTTTACCTCATTGTGTTTGATTAATTTGTCGTCACAGATACACAATTTGCTTTAGTAAGAGTGTCACTTCTGCTGTATATTCATTCAGTGGTGCTGGTCTTCACCTCCACTTGCATCATAACTTTGTTTTATCTTCTAAAAATAGCCGTTCGCTCTGGTTGATGTCCTGTTTGTTAAGTTTATTTGCTTAATCTGATAAACAAGTCTGATCCTGTGTTCCTTCCAATTATAAAGTAGAAATTGAAGATAAGGATGGATAACTTCCTCGAAGTTAGGCCTGACATTGTAATTCCTGGGCCTTTGACCATTTGATGCTATTCCAAAATTTGTGTTTCTTTCATATCCGTAATCTGATGATGTTATTTGGATTTTAGCACTTATATTTAGAAACAGAGGTTCCACTGACAAACTCTCAAGTACTTTATGTAAGTTGAAAAATACCTAAAAGATTTAGCCAGCTTTGCAAAAGACGGTTAGCAAGGTAACTTGCAAACTATTTTGATGAACAATGTATACTGGGCTTATGGTAGGTGGATGGTTGTTTGTTCACATACACATGTATGAGTCTGTAGGATTGCATACATTATTTCTCTTACGATATAAAATAATTGTTGGCCCATGTCCTAATAATTTAAGCTTTTGGGAACAATGGTCAATTAACAACATTTATGACGATATCAGAAAAAGAGTTCCTAATTTCAAATCGTTGCCATTGCAATTTCCAAAATAAGTTGAATTCCCCAAGTTAAGCATGTTTGATTTCTGCATATTTTACCCATGTCTATTGCGTGTCTCCATGAATTCAAGCTGGATAATCGTATGCTTGAGTAAGCCACTGATTGATTTTCTGCAGGCATCCTGGGCAGCGCTCAAGGATTCGAAAGTTACAGTATATTGCTGAACTAGAAAGAACTGTTGATGTTTTGCAGGTAATTCTTATTTTAGAGGGAATATGATGGTTTTCTGGTTGAGTTTATCCTTGCTGCAGTAGCATGCAAAGGGTTGTATTCATTTCCATCTAGATGGTTTACCCATGACTCTAGATGTTCCCATGGCCAAGGGTTGAGTTTATCCAGCCGGTGTCTTGATCTTTTACCTTCTATTTTAATTAGTCTTCCCTTGGCCGTGGGAACATCTAGTGGTCTGCGATACATAGCATAAGTTAATTATGTACAGAATTATAATGTAGGCACTAGAATAATATACATATACTTGACTAGCCTTGGTTTCAAGATTTAAGGATACAGCTAGCTTTGGGGCCCGTAGTCAGAATGGATATTGTGTCTACAAAGTCATTGCTTTTGTGCCATATTGTGTTGATTCTGTTTCAGTTGTTCTCAATTACGTGCTGGCTAGGTTTGTAATACCATATTCTACTTAAGTGAAAACTTTCAACATGGCAGCTGATTGAAATCTTGTCTCATCAAACAGTCTTTGGAGTCAGAGTTAGCTGTTAGAGTTGCCTATCTGCTTCAGCAGCATGTTGCCTTGTCTATGGAAAATAACAAATTAAAGCAGCAGCTGGCAAGACTGCGACAGGGAAAATTTATCATGGACAGTGAGTTTCATCGATCTTTCTGCGGCAAGACCTTCATTACTTAACTTTCTTTTTTCTCCCATAAACTATTCAAGTAACTACCCATTGGCTACAGAAATTTTCTGGTATATGCTTCGCACATTTGTCATCAAGAAATTTGAATTGTAAGCATTGCATAAGTGTTTAGGAGGAACATTCTATTAGGAAGAGTCTCAGACTTAAACTTGCTTTGCATTTAGAATGTTCTGTTGATGACCAAAGAGTGTAAGAAATTGCTGAGTGATAATAATAATAAAATCTAATACTCATATCAGTCATTGAGAACTTGATTTATCTATATATTACTGCAGCAAATAACAACTTTGGATTTCCACATAAAATTCATGGAATACATCAAGATTGAAGCATATTATTGTCTTTTTCTTAAATGGTTATGCCTGTTGATTTTGCTGCAGGTCAGTATCAGTCTCTGAAGAAGGAAATCAAGAGATTGAAGATTGGTTTAACAAATCCCCAAAACAAGAAGGTTGAAGCATACTTTGGTTCAAGTTCTACCACTGAGGCAGCTAGAGTTGAGGCTATGCAGAATCTAGATATGGGAAAACTTACTCTTTCTTGAAACCAAAGATGCCGTTACTCTTTCTTGGAACCGGGAAAAAAAAAACAGTACTTTTATGGTTTTCAGTGTTGTGCCGTGAAAGAGGTGGCTCTTTTCTTCAAATGCACTTTACTACGAAGTTCCAGCAAGAGCATCACCGTGTTGCTGGTTGGCAGAGTCCCCATTCTGATTGATCCCACGTAAATTTGTGGTTGGACTTGGTCCTTTTTGAACTAATACTTAATATATGAAGGGAACAGACATCATCATTTACCTTATTTTTTGTGTCCGTACAAATGCTGTGGCGGATGCTTTTGAACACTCAAGGAAATTCTCTCATTAAGGGACACTTTGCCTTTAGATTGATAGTATGCTGGCAAATTGCCTTCATGTGAAAGGTCGGGGTATCGAAAGCTGAGCTCCTTTGGATTGTTTGATACATTGCTATCTTGGTGACAAACTGAAAATGAATGACAAGCCCTTGTTCTGTTTCTCTAGCACATGATAATTAACTACAAATGAAAGACCATTACCATACTTGGAGGATTCAAAAGTATATAGGGTAGTTGAGGGATCCTTATTTTGGGATTTGAGACGCCGGTCGACCGGCATAACTTATCCACACAACTGGCTTCTCACATCCTACGTCTTGGATCCCGTTTAAGAGGTAACAAAAGCTCCTAGCACTTCTTTTTTTTAAGCAAAAAGAAAATCAGTAAACGGAATTTTGAATAATATAAAAGATGAAATACATAGTATGAGGATACTTCATTATGTTATAAGAACAGTAAACAAAACGACTAAACCGTCAGTCATATAACGTAATACCAGCCGTTTTTTTTTTTTTTTTTTTTTTTGGGTTGGAATCAAGTTTCCTTGATATAAAGGCATTGCCAATTACAAGATAGTGGAACTCATAAAAATGAGTACAAACAAATGCGACAGTAAAAGCCCACTAGATATAAAACTCAAACAGGCATAAAATCTACAACTGGCACAAAGCCAGAGCCCAAAACTGACATAAAGCTAGATTGGTTTAGCCATGAGGAGGAAGCAAAGTTGCAAACTTCATCTCTAAAATGCTAGTCTCCTAAAGCACCAATCTTTAAAGAAAATGGAAAAGTCAAAATCATCAAAGCCTTTAACCACCTAGATCTTATTCCCATTAAAATCCCAATTGTAAAGAAAGGAATTAGATATCATAACTTTATGGTTACCTTAGAAACTCCAATCCAATTCTTGAAGATGAAACTGGAACCAAATAGATTGTAGGAATTCGAATATATCGACATGAAATGGGACTATATCTGGTTCAATGACAACAAAAGTCAGAATAAACATCAATAATGTACACTTTCCATTGCAATGATTTAGTTGCACAGGACATATGATCAACTAGCAAATTGACAAGCCCCTGAAAACTGCAAGAAACACACTTCAACCCGCATAAGACAGAGAAGCAAGTCCTGAAAGCAAATATTAAGGCTGGGGAAAGGAAGAACAACACTCTTGTTTGCGAAGAACCAAGTGGCCAATCTTTGCTAACCTACCACGGCACACCTTGGCTCTCAACAGACATGCAAGACATTGATATAGTGAAATGACTGGAGAAGACTATTGATAATGAATAACCTTCTTTGTCTGTCAAGGTTTTAGCCCAAGATGTTTCCTTGTCTTTCCCACATATAAGTCTCCAGATTTGATCATGCCAGGGATGCAACCGCTAATTGTCAATAATGGGAATTGCGCAACTCCCTCGTTCCTCCCGAGTGACACAAGTGCAATGTCTAAACCGGGCTTGTAAGTAGCCATCTTGCTTTCATTTCCTCCCATCAGCAACAGCTTAAGGTTCTTGGCAGTCACTTCAGCATGTCTTTGTGCTAAATAGCCTTGTTTGATCTCCTGTTAAGATATTGTGTTTATCAGTTTAAGTAAGATTTTGTCCAAAACATAAAAAGTCATAGATATTGATAGGTGAGCATACCTTAATATTGGTTATATCTCCTACTGCGAAGATATTTTTATGACCCCTAACCCTCAAGTTTTCATCAACCATTAGTCTTCCTTGCATATCCAAATTATTCTGCACAATAGTCCCCCTAAGCCATGATGAACCTGTTGGTTTACCCGTGCACACAAAGTGACAATCAGCTGTGATAATTTCTCCAGAAGGTGTTTGAATAATAGGATCAGATATTGTGTTCAAATTAATGGTTTCATCCAAAATAACTTCAACTTTTTTTGATATGAACCAATCAAGTGCCTTTTGGGACGCCTTCAAACCAATGAATTCTAGCAGCCTTGACCCCCTGTGCACCAGTATCACCTTCTTTTCTGGAAAATCCGTAGCAATTTCACCAGCAAGTTCAACTCCCGTGGGGCCCCCTCCAACAATCAAAACTGATTTAGCAGAATTTATCTTAACAAATTCTGTACACAGACAAAGAATAAAGTCAGATTTGATGTCGAATGCTCCTCTATGATGCACAGTACATTACAATTAAGGCATAGAAGTAAGTGTAGAAGTCTTGTAGGCTTCTCAATGGTGCACAATACATTAATATTATAATTCAGTTTTAATTTTTCCATTTCCCTTCAGACTTTTTGTTGGGGGTAGAGCAGTTAAAAATCCATTACATGCAATTTCAAAGAAAAAGGGTATGAGATTTCTTACATGAGTAATGAAGTTTGATTTCAAATAAATCTTCACTTTAATTAAGTACCAAATTTAATCATGCAAACGTACAAGAGCACAACTGCAATTCCACTTATGCAACTTTAGGTATTACCTGCCTCATAATGACTGAGCCTCTCAGCTCTGGTTTTGGGAAGAGCTTCCTTATGACCAGTGGCAATAACAAGATATTCATATACAAGCAAATGGCCATCTGTAGTCAACACTTCACGCTCTGTGATGTTAGCTGCAGTAGATGCAACAATCCTCACATTGGGAAGATAATCGGAGTGATTAATCACTGATCTTTCAGCAAATGATGGCTCCACCATTGCCCTCAAGCTTCCCCATGGGATCTCAAAATACTCCTTCCTGTTGTCATAGATTTTAACACACAAGGTCACGATAAAGAAAATCACTAAAGAAAAGACAAAATAACTTGATCTGTAAGTGATATTTGGGACAAAATTAAATTAAAAAATTCAACTTATGCTTTGGATAGACTTATAGCTGCAACTAAATTATACATACTGGGGACGAGATGGACAAGACACAAGGGATGACAGAAAAGAAACCATGATTCTTTTTTATAAATGAGAAATTTATTGAAAAAATCCCGAGAGAGCATCACCCACATAAGTGGTACATAAAAGATCATCAAAGAAAGCACAATATTTTAATGATAAAGAAAAACGGGAGAAACAACGAAACTCAAATTAAGGGAGCCACAACGTGCTTGTTGCGTAACTTCGTGATGTAGGTAGGGAAATGGTAGATGGCTTTAACATTCCAATTTAATAAGATATTAGAAGAAGTATTTAGCATGGTCCTTGGTCCTGGTTCTAACAAGACTAAGTTATCTTTGAAACGCAATAACACAAAACGTAGAGGACAAATCAATGAGATGCCTCTTCCAAATTTTATGCACTTGATCATGGATCTGCCACCAGCTCACTATCAATTATAAAAGAGCTTTCTTTTTCAACACATCCATCCAAGTTCCTTCACCAATACATCGTCTTTAAGAAATCGCTACTCGCTAAGATTTGTAGGAGTCATACAGTAAAAACGACTTAGCATTCATGCATGATTTAAATTATCCTAAAATACCATAAGAAATTAACCAAAATAAAACCATAACACTGTATGTTGTTACTGAGTCAGACAAAGATACATAGAGGTAATCTGAAACCAAGCTGCTTCCTCATATAGCTTTTTTTATGTCGTAGAGATGCAACTCTTTTCTTTCTTTCTGGTTAAATGTGTTCGCTCAAACAAGATACTACAACACCAACCCCTGCTAGAATTAAAGTTCTCTTTCTGTTATATTGTTATGATTTCTCTAAATTAATATAAATAATTTGAACTCCTCCCATTTCTCTAGAGCTTCCCATTTTAACACATAAATTTTTCCTCAAATTTCCATTTACCACCAACCCAGTAGCCATATAGTTCCAAAATACAAAGAAAAATAATCTTAAATGCACAAGCAAATTCAAGAACCATATTCTTTCATATAGTTGCTAAATGTATGTGTATAATATATAAACACAGACACACATTGCCGCATAGAAAATTGAAAACAACAAAACATGAACAAATTTCAAACCCAAACCCCACTTTTTGTGAAAATGTTCAACAAGAAAGGCTATAAAATTAAAGGAAGAAAGGTAAAAACAAGGATTACTCATCAATGAGAACAACATCAGCGCAGAACTGGAGAGACTTGGCAACAACAGAGCCAGCAACACCACCTCCAATCACCACCACCCTCTTCTTTTCCCCAGCTGACTCTGCCGTGGCAGCCGTTGAAATCAGCAAGCACATTGCACAAGGAAAATGCAAAACAACCCAAAAACCCTGTTGGTGAAATTGAAATTGGATTGGGATCAAAACAAAGAAATGTAAGTCCTATTCCTTGATGGGTTTTCTAAAACCGATAGGAGGTTTTAATTATGGCGTTTCTCTGTAAATTTTTGCCGGTTGTTTGTGTCTGAATTGGATGCTATTCTCAGAGAGAGAGAGAGAGAAAGAAAATGAAACAAAATTTGACAGTTCAGGTGAAGATGAAATTGACTATGAACTGGCAAGTTCATGTCATTGGTGAATTTTGCGGCTTTCGGGGTACTTTGTTAAGCCAGTTACCAACTCAGCGTCTCTCTCGAATGGCCATTTGTTTTTGCTTTATCCAAAACACAGAGGCGAGTTTGGGCCAACTCAGAGAATAAAAACTTTTCTGGCACGCGTTCCCAAAGTTGGCCAGGCGACCCTTAGGCAATTACTTCTTGACGAGTTTTCACTTTCATGAATGTCAAATGTCCTCAAAACTAATATTGATTCTATGATTTAGCACGTGTATTATCCTATAATGGGATAATGCACAACCCACTTATGAGTTGTGTTTTAATCTAATCTTGTCAAAATTTTATTTGCTCCCACGTCGTTAACCCTTAATCATATTTTATAGGTGTCCAAGAAATTGAATTTTTTATATATATAAAAGTCCTTAAACCCACTGAGGTAATTTTACAAATGATAATCCGGATTTTATTTGAAAGGAAATTCCAATGAGTGTCTCCAAAGATCTTATCACTTCACCTTTTCTCTCTCTGGAAACTTGTCATCCTTATTTGCTTTATGCATCCAATGTAGACTTTGTAAACGAGTCTTGTTTGTCGGGTTCGTATAAACTTCCTACCTGTTAAATTAATAGGTGAAACATACCAAATATGAACACGACACGTTAAAATAACAAATCACACAACACAAACTCATTTCACCCAATAAGAATAAAAAAAAAAAAAAGTTTTAAAAAAAATGGGAGAGAGGGAGAAGGAAGAGTAGAAAGATGAAGAAAAACGAAAAATTGACCGAGTTGACGCATCGCTAGTAGATGCTGAGTTTGCATTCCACTTAATAAGCATCCTCCAATACATTACACGTAAGAAAAAATGCATTCTACAAAAAGAAATGGAAACGGTTTTTTATCCACATGCCCCAGATTTTAGCCAATTCCAATAAAAATAAAAATAAAAATAAAAATGAAAATTCTTTGAACAATTTTTTGTTGTTGAGTTTTTCTATTTAAACCATATACTTATCTTTGTTCACCCCAACTTCTAATTCAAATTTTCACAATTTCTAATAAAACTCCACTATCTTCCCAAACTACCCTTAAATACATACCCAGCAAAAAAAAAAATTTCATCAACCTCACTGTGGGAGCAGATATTTTCGTCTCCAATCACAACGCGTCACGTGGAAAAGAAGATTATCTCTTTTAATTAATTAATTGAACCAGTTTATCTGGCCAATTAATTAATTGGGATAAATATCTTAATTAACATGATATTATCTTTATTTAATAAGATAATATCATTAATTAAGATATTATCCTAATAAAGAGAAGATAATGTCATTATCTCAGATATTATCTCCATAAAAAGAGATAATATCATTTAATTAAGATATTATCTCCATAAAAAGAGATAATATCATTAAATCAGATATTATCTCAGTCCGACTCGATCCCTACGAATTTGGGTAGAGAATAAACTCAGCATATTCTCTACGAAACCCTAGCCCCGAGGCTCCTATAAATAAAGAAAAATACCCAAAGCTCTCTCTTTCTCCCTCTCCACTCTCCATATTTTCTCCACACGGCTCCAGCCACCACACACGGCTCCGGCCGCCCGGTTCACACCCTACATAAACACTACTCCGTACCCTTTGCTTAGCTATTGTTTTCCTACAAACACTCGAACTAACTTAGGCATCGGAGGGCCTTTGGCCAACACCCCCCGAGTGTGGTCTATTTACTCCAATCTGTTTTACAGGAATCGAGGAAGAGAGAGAAGGAAGATCGAAGGTTGAAGGATCTAAAAGCGAATATTCTCCCGTGAGATTATTTGCACAAACACTCACACCCCACACCCCCTATCTTGCCGCTCACTACTCTAAGTTCACCTCAACCTCACATTACTTAAAGAGATAAAATATTCCAATAGAAAGCTAAACCTGAATATTCTAATGGAAGTTTTATTTGACATGGCCCCGCTTCTCTCCTAATGTATAACATCATGTGTTTGATATTTTATTGTAAAAAAAGAATTTTATCAATGACATTGCAAAACATTGTAACATTAGATTCAACAAATTGTTTTGATAGGAAACATGAGATCTGAATCATGATTCCAAAATCATCAAATTCAACACTTCTAAGAGAAAACCCTACTCAAGCCAAAAACTGCATGTATCCTCTGGAAAATAAGATCCCGCCATCCTTTCTCTGTATTCTCCACCACATTCGCATTCCCATATTTGCATTACCAAAGGCACCAACACAAAGCAACCAGCTTTGCATAGAAGAAAATAATAAAACTCACATACTCCCAATCAATCAAACTAAAATTGAAAAGAACCCATTAATTAAAAGCTCAAATCAAAATCAACCTGTCTTCCTCAAGAATATGAAGAGTTGTGGGGTGAGTGAGATGTGTGTATAAATATATTAGGGTTAAGTATTAAGTTTGATGACTTTTTTTGTCTTTTTACACAATAATAAAACTTAGGCTTAAATGCTAAAATGGTCCCTGTGTTTTACTACGTTGGCTAATTTAATCCATGTGTTTTTAATTTAGCCAATTTGGTCCTTGTGTTTATGATTGTAAATGTGATCCATTTCTTTAAATTTCAGTTAGAAATTTAAAAAAAAAAATATTTAAATATTCATAAATAAAAATATAAGAACTAAACAAAAATATTAAAAAACGTTTAAAAAAAGTTGTTTATGCTCTAGTTTGAAAATAATTAGCTGTAAAGTAAAGCAACATCATATTTGATAAACACTATTTTTAAAGTGTTGTTAATACAAAAAGCAATATAAAAAAACGTTTGATAAATTTTAATATAAAACTATTGTAAATGTGAATAATGATTAAAATAAACATGATGTTGAAAGTGTTTTGCACTAAGAGCATGTGCAGTGCTAGGCTGTTGCCATGGCAACAGGCCCCCTAAGCCCTAATTCCTCCTTCAGTGCAAAAATGCCAGCCTGGGCAAGCCATGGACCCCACTAGCCTTGGCAAGCCCATAGGCAAAAATGGACTGGGCTGTTGCCCTCAGGCTGCTAACGTCAGCACCTAAAAAAAATGAAAAAAATATCAATTTTTTTTTAAAAAAAGTATGGAAATTTTTTCTATAAATACCTACCAATATTATTCACTTTCCACACCAAATCTTCATACAAATTCATGTCCTTCAAATATTTTTCACTTTTCATACCAATTTTCTAATACAAAATCCCATTTGAAAATTTTAATTTAATAAATATGGACACGTGGCAATCGAAAATCTTATCCGAAAATTTAATTTGAAAATTTTATCTGAAAATGTTATCTGAAATTTTAGGTGAGAATTTTATAATAAATAGTGGCATGTGGCAACCAAAAATATTATCTGAAAAGCTATCAAAATGAATGGATAAGTATTATAAAAAAATAGAAAATAAAGTAAAGTGAATAGTGTTTGCCCTTGCCCTTGCACTTTGGGGTGGAACCAAAAAAGGCAAGACTGACACTATTCACGTGAATAGTGTCAACACATTGCCTTACCCTTGCCTTTTGGGGTGGAGGTGCTCTAATCATGTGGTGATAATGGTAGTGGTAGTGGTAGTGGTAGTGGTAGTGGTGAAAGAGATAAAGGTGAAGGTGGTGGTGGTGGTGGTAGGGATGGTTGAGGAGGAGTTGGTGGAGGTTGAGGAGGAGTTGGTGGAGGTTGAGGAGGAGGCGGTGGCGGTGATGTTAGAGGTGGTGGTGGTGTTCACCTGTTTGATGTTTGTTCCTGTGATGGTAGGGTAAAGTTCCCCATTGTCTTGAAAACCATTGACTGGTTAACAAGTCAACTTTCTTTAGTATGTGAGCGTGCCACTGCTAGCAATGAAAAATCCTAGCAGACTCTGGAATAGATAACTTGCACCCTAAGTTATTGATTTCTAAACAAGCGAATGTGAATTTGGGTGAGGAATATCTCCCAAGTAAGTTCTTTTCTTGCCTCAGACTCGTGAGGACTTCATAATGTTTCACAGTACAAGGTTGGTAGTTATGGCCAGAATAAATAGTAAGAAAATGAACTGTTTTCAGGCAAAACTGCCTTTTACAAAACTCAAGAAGGAAAAACCAACTCTAGAAAGACAAAAAGAAGGTTGAACTTTCATTTCTGCCTGAATAGATGCTTCTGATCCTGGTTGGAATGGGTATGCCTGTGCTGGATTGGACTGTCAACAACTTCAACTGCTAAGCTTTAGCTGTAAATTGATACCAACGTTCGAGTTTGGTAGAGTTTTAATATATTTCTAGCCCTGAAAGGCTTTTTAAACAGGCAGAATTGCAGCCTCTTCAATCTGAAAGGGGCAGAAGTGGCTGGACTTGAGGATTACTGAGCTGGAACTGCACTATGGTACCTATTCTGCTTGGTTAGGGCTCTCCATAAATTTGTTAAGGTTTTCATATTTGTAAAAACCCAGACTCTGCTATTTTGGCTTTTGCTTAACCAAATTTGTAACGAGAGAAATCTCTTTTTGAATGACTTTTCTCTAAGTCTTGACACTAGAAGTTTCTGATTCGTAGCTGGCTTCTTTCTTGTGGCTCAATGAGCTTTAGGTTGCTTCAGTTTGTTTGAAGGTTCTTTGAGATCAAGTGATCATCTTGAGTCTTTGTCTTTGATTGATTTTTTGGTTTTTTGATTGTCATCTACTCTGCTCACCCTCTCTTATATTTATAAGAAATGTTTTTGGAGTGGGGTTTCTAATTCTTTAATAATGGATGGCAAAAATTCTCAAAAGATCTTTCTTTTTATATGCAAAGAAAAAGGGGGTTTTATCAATTCTGTTAGATAAGCTCTCAATAGTCGGTTCCTAAGAGCATCTCTAAGGGATATGTCAAATACCATACATTAAATTTAAATTTGATGGCTGATGTTGACATTTACACAATTTTACACTCCACCCGATATGTCAAATAAATAATTATTGTAACAGTCAAATTATTTAAGATAAAGAAGAAAAAAATTAAAAAAATAAAAAAATAAATGAAAGTAACAACCAGCTGTCTTTAAAAACTAATAAAATATTCATTTGACATCTTGCTTTTGGGATGTCAAAAATAACATCTCAACCTTCAGCCTTCATTCCACATCAGCTTTAACACATCGGTTGAAGTGATGTGAGATGTTATTTTTAGCTGTAAAATGTCTATGTGGCACTTTTGACACATCGGTTGGAGATGCCCTAAGGCAATCATATCCCTGTTTTTCTTGAAAGAAAACCTAACCCTTCTTTAATTCCAACTGCTCTTGTAAGAGTTCAAAAACTGCCGTGATGGTTAGTTTTGATCTTCTAGATGAACAACTCTCTACTTCCTACTTATCTTTTTAGAAAACAAAGCCTGTTTATCCCTTGGAAGTGGTACCTGCTCTAGAGCAGAATTTTTCTTAATATAGAAAGGGATTTTGATCCTTTTTTTTTTAAAGGCTGGAGATTTGCCTGTCTCAAGTCTTGTTTCCATTAACTCCCATCGACTCAGTTGAGATTGATGACTTTTCAAAGTTTCAGGTGGCCACGTGGGTTTGCTTCTAATTTTGGGCTTTTCTTTTCTTTTAATCATGCCAAGCCCAGGTCGAGTTTTTTGGAGTTTATGGGCCAATTTCCTTCTTTTTCTTCTTTTGTCGAAGCCCACGTTTTGTTGTGTTTTGATAGATCTTGGGCTAGGCTTTCTTGGATTTTGTGTCCTTGATTTGTGTTTAATCGTGAAGGTCAGACTGCTCGGGTCCTGTGGCTTGTTTTATCATTCTAGGCTCTTTAGTGTTGGACTGGGTGCGCAGGATTTTGGCCCAAACAGGTGGTGGTGGTGGAGGTTGTGGAGTTGGATGTGGAGGAGGAGGTGGTAGAGTTGGATGTGGAGGTGGAGGTGGTGTCATATTAAAAAATTAATGATGATATTTTGAGAATTTAAAAAATTCATGGCTTGTTTGGGAGTGCTTCTTCCCAAAGCGCTTATGACATAAGCGCTTCTACAAAGAAGCAATTTGTTGTTTGGATGTCATATTTAAAAGTGCTTTTACACTACATAAAAGCGTTTTTGATATTTTGTTGAGTATTTGGCTGATACAGTAAAAGTGCTTTGATTTTATCCGGAACTCTCCTTAATTGTGAGTCTTGTGGACTTATGATATTACTAGCCATGTGACAAACGACATATAAAATTATCTCAAACCACCTTGACACCGTCTTGCCAGAATGTTGAAATTGGACCATTCTATTAGTGAAAGCATTGAAAAATGCAATGCATTCTTGTAGTGCCACCTAGAACACAACTTCTTTCTAAAGTCGATACAAATTGAGAGGGAGTGCTTGGTGCCACTTTTTGGGGGTTTTGAGCACGCAATGCTCATTCAAAACATTGCAGCCAACAAATCAAAAGGGTTGGCTTTCCGTGTTTTTGTCCTGTAACGCTTTTAAAAAGAAGCACCTCTCAAGTGCTTCTTCCAAAATCACTCTAAGTGCTTTTAGATCTCACCCAAAGCGTTTTTGCAATTTTTGTCAAACACAATTTTTAAAAGATAGAAGCGCTTGACGCTGCTCCAAAAGCACTCTCAAACGAGCCCCATCTTTGCTTCTTTTAAAATTAGTTTTGAAAAGCAACCCGGAGTTTGCCTTTAAAATAATTACCAAATATCTTAAATTGTTTAATTTTAAATTGAAACAAGTTTTTGGCGGAAAAAAAATAAAAAAAACAATCACAAACGAGGTCTAAAAACAAAGGAACTAAATTAGCCAATGCAGTAAAACATAGGGAACATTGGGGTCAACATAGAAAACTATTTTTTTTCAAAGAATCGTCAACAGTTTTTTTTTTTCTCTGGTCTGAAATCTTCAACTGTTTAAAAGAAAGAAAGTCTGAAAATGAGCTCTGAGCTTTTTCTGGCACATCATCATGTCGAACAAAATAGAGGGCTTCAACTTCGATCAGAGGCATGGCAAGCAGAGGGTGAGGGTGGCTAGGGTTTGGCGGAGCGAAAATGGACGCCATTCCATCGTCGAATGGAACGTCGGCATCAGCCTCCTCACCGATTCGGTGGTTGCCTATACCCGCGACGACAACTCCGATCTCGTCGCTACCGATACCATGAAGAACACTGTAAGGGCTTCTCAGATCTGATTCACTGTTCGATTGGATTTCGGTTTGCTCTGTTTGGTTGCTGAGAAAATTGAATCCCGATGAAGAAAATGAAGAATTTACATGCTTTACTTTTGCCAACCGGTTTATAGATCAACTAGTTTTCAAACCTGGAGTTACATGCATGAATTTTTTTTCCCATAACAATTTAATTTGTAATTGATAGCAGCTGAGCATGTTTTTCAGCTGGAAATGAAAAAACTGGTTGTATCTGGGAATGAAGATATTAAGCTATGTATTGGTAAACAAAAAATATGCATATATCTTTATATTTTAATTTTTTAACATACGGCCATTTCAAGCATAAACCCATAATCTAAAGGTCAACACAGTAACCAAAAGGAGCGATTAAATAACTTAGCAGCTAACACGGCTGCTTATGGACAGAAAAAAAAAAAAACATATAAACAATGTTTGTTAGGTTTCCCATTGCTTGAACCTGCTGTCTTTCCAGCATTTAGATTGCTACTCATTTTCAGGATTTAACTTAGTTGCATTACAGGTATATGCAAAGGCTAAGGAATGTGTAGAAGAACTGTCAGTGGAAGACTTTGCAATTCGACTTGCTAAACACTTCACATCTCTTTACCAGCAGGTAATACTATTAAAGTTTATTTTTCGACATTCTCTCAGTTAATCCCATACCGTAAAGAACAAGAAAATTTGGTTGATATCACCATCACTGCTGAAATGCTGGTCATTTGTTGTTGTTGTTGTTGTTGTTTTTGTTGCTCCGGTCTTATACTCATAGAAGAGAATTTTGCAACACATGATAGCATTGGTGTAGAAATTGGTTCCTTTTTAAATTTGATTGGTTGTCTTAAATTTTGGACTTTTTACTTCCTTTTTCTTTTGTAATATTTGATGTTGTAATTAGTTGGTGAAGGACATCTGTTCTTATTTTTGTAGGTCACTGCTGCTATAGTAAAGATTGTGGAGAAGCCATGGGAGCGTGTATCCATCGATGGTCAACCACATGAACATGGTTAGTCTATTTCCAGTCTTTCATAGAAGTGTGGAGGAAACTATACGGCTATATATGATATCTACTGAATTCGTTTTGTCATGACTTTGTAACCAGAATACTTGGGAATTCATAATCAAAGGAACCTCTCATTTCTCAACACTTAACAAAAAAAAAATTTCTATATGTAAAGGTAGCAAATGAACAGCACTTCTCATCAATTTCTTAATCAGAATGGGATACCTTGTCTTCAGAAAACGGGTTAAAATCAGACAGTTATAAGGAAAATTCCTAACTTCTTGCACAACCGAGGACTGAGGCGTCAAAATAAGATGCACTTGTTTGTACACTTGGATTTCACTTCCTTAGCATTCTTTTGTACAATCTTATTACTTATAGAAAGAACTGATAAATTAAGTTGAATGGTTGATACCATATTTTGGAATTCCATAATGTGTGAGACATTTACTTTTTAATTCATCATTTCACCTGTAATTTGCATTTAGCAATTTTCACCTAACTGCTCCATGTTTTTCCTAATTATTTTATTTTATAGTAATATTGTTTCATTATTTAGCTAAAAATTACCTTAAGCCGTAAATTAAACAGTGATAAGTCGAAGTTATTCAATAATAATTTGTTGTCAAGTTGTTTTAAGAGAAGGGGTCAAGAGATGACATGTTGGATGTCATGTCTGTGGCTTGTTGCCTCAGTCTTAAATCTGGTTCTGTAGCTATCTTGCTAATTCTAAACTTGAATAGAATCCCTTATATTTCCTATATATTCTGCAGATATTCCAAGCATATTGATTTGCAATCCAGAAAACATCCTTTCTTTCCTCTTTTTATCTGTTTTAAATTTTCATCGTCTTCTTTGTTAAAAGGTTTCAAATTAGGATCCGAGAAGCATACAACAGAGGTAATTTTAAAGAAATCTGGTGCATTGAAGGTGACTTCTGGTATTGAAGGACTGGCTCTGCTAAAGACAACAAAGGTAATCTTATCCAATTCACTATTAATATCAAGGTTTTCAAAATTGAACACGTAATGCGACAATGGATATCATAATCTATTACATACTACATTTTTTTTTCTAATTCAGTCTTGACAAGAAATCAGCGATTGTAATCATGAGTTTGTTATTGAGAAGAACCCAAAATTTTATTTAGAAAAATGTCAAATATACAGTCATGGACAAGGAATCCACTCTCAAATTACTGCAGCAAGAACAAAACTCTCTAATATGCCTCAACTTTGCATTCAGGTTAATAGATTAGACATCCAAACTTGAGACCATAACACATCAGTTGACTGCAGCTTAGTCTAGCGACAATGCTGACGTGGAACACTCCCTGAACTGTACAGTGATCAAACCCGAAAGGGCAGAGCAAAAATTAACTCGATCCAAAACTTCATCCACATACACCCATGAATAATCTTAAAATGTCATTCAAATTATTATTATTATTATTATTATTATTTTGAGCTAAAATGTCATTCTATTTTGCTCCATCTGTATGACCCAAAAAAACTGCCATGACCCTGTTACCCAATGAGTTTTAGCTATCCTACTGTAAACATATGTTGTGACATCTTTTTGGAATTACCCAACTTGCATGAGCTTCCTTAAACAATTTCCACCAGATCTGTAACGCAAACGAACAATGGAGAAAAACATGATCTATACTTCCTTCCCCAGCCTTACAAAGAATACGCCATTAAGGGAAAAGATAATATACGGCCCTTGCAGAATCTGATAACAAAGCATTAAGTTTCCCATTAGCCACCAATAATGCAAGAACTTGAATCTTAGGAGGAACCTTTGCCTTCCAAATCAGATTCAAAGGGTGAAAACATGATATCAGATATCATTAACACACGCTATTGTATTAGATTCTGTAAGACTTGCATGAAAGTGTCCCCTAAATTTCTAACTGCCAGCCCCTTAAATTCCCCCTTGAAGGAAATAGACACATACCTTATTACGCTCATGATATCATTAACACATACTATTGTATTACTACGCTCAAAGGAGAGAGAGTATTGCATTGCAGACACTCATCAGCCACTTATGAGTTGTATTATTACTCTCATGATATCATCGACACGTAGTTGTATTATTACGCTCAAAGGAGAGAGAAAAAGTATTGCGTTGCAGACATTGCAAGCCAATATAGTTCGGGAACTGTTAAACTGCTATTTGCATATTGGTCTACATGTATGTTCTTTTTCTCTGCTGATTATTAAGTTTGTTTGGTTGATACTGCTGATTTTTAATTTTGATTTGAGCAGTCAGGTTTTGAGGGATTTATTAGGGACAAATACACAGCTCTTCCTGACACGCGTGAGAGGATTCTGGCTACAGATCTCACTGCATCATGGACGTAAGCATATTTTTTCATTTCGTTTTTGTGACCTGACATAATTGTTAAGTGGAATTCTAATATTTTTGGCTATCCCTCTTGGTTAAGACAAATCCTTGTTACTGAGATAAATGGATGCAGGTATCCGTACGAATCTATTTATAGCATCCCTCAAAAGCCACTATACTTCACAGAAAGATACTTGAGTGTGAAAAAAGTTCTGGCTGACACTTTCTACGGTCCTCCAAAAGGAGGAGTATACAGCCCCTCTGTCCAAAGCACTCTTTATCACATGGCAACAAATGTTCTCAAGGGGTCTCTCTCTCTCTCTCTCTCTCTCACACGCGCGCACACACACACGCTCGCACACATTCCTGTACCATTTGTGCTTGCTTTTCTGTGTGGCATTTTGTTAAGTAAAATTTTTATGTTCATGATTTCAGGTTTCCTGACATAGCAACAGTACAACTGAAAATGCCAAATATTCATTTCTTACCTGTTAATCTATCTAACAAGGATAATACTATTGTGAAGGTAAGACTCCTTTGCATTTATATCTGTAACAAGGATGATATTAACATAGTGGAATCTCAGTCAATTTCTGTTTAGTTTCTGATATCCATTACCCGACTTTGCAATGTTCTGCGTCACTGTTGCTTTGAATGCCCTGTTTCTTTTGCATTATTGGAATGGGTGTTTCCTGTGCTTTATGGGTCAAATTCACTTTGGGATCACATTGAATGGTTCTTCATGCTCAAGAAGCATAAGGACATTTTCCACTAGCATACTCTATCATAATCAGACGATATGTTATAAGTTTGCCTGATTTCCATTGCCAATGAAACATTAATGATATTTGCCAAGCACTGCATCCTAAAAGCTCTGCCAGAGTCTCGTTTCTGCAGACGATCATGATTCATGACCAATATGCTTCCATCTATATTCTTTAGAGAAATGGATTGAGTTTAATGTGATATAGGTGAAACCAAAAGGTATTAACTAAAATATAGAGGGTAATGGGTTAGGTTTCCCAATTTCATTGCATATGGATTGGTATGATGAGGTTAATGTGCTATATTTTGTTCTCTTTTTTTCTTTGGGTACAAGTTAATGCGTTATTGTTAATAGACTATTAACATTATTTTTTTCTCCTTTTACAATTTTGGCAGTTTGGGGATGATGTTTATCTCCCAACAGATGAACCGCATGGATCGATAGAAGCTACTCTAAGCCGTTTCTGGTCAAAGATGTAGTGCTCGCTTTTCACAATGTGTGCATTTTTATGTTTTTAAAGACACAGAGCGGTTTTTGCTCAATGTTTGAAACTACATTATATCATCTTGCTTGATCTTTCCTCCACTGTAAACTGAGGTAGCCTACATAATGCTTTCTCAGGAAGACTTGGTCATGCCTCGAAGTCACAGAACTCGGAAAAGTTGTGAAATGTGAATAGAAATAAGAATGGGATCTATGAATGTTTTTCATTTATATTTCATGTCTAATTAATCAGGTATACTTCAACGATGTGTCCGAAATAAGAATAATGCTAGGGACACTAAATTTGACTCCCGGATTATACATGTACATATGTATTTTTAAAAAATACTTATGTTTTTCATACACGTCCAAGACTTGGTAAAATTACAAGATTTTTTTAAAATCAAATGAAGAATACACGTATTATATGTATGTATGTATTCTCTATGTTTAATACATGTATTTTTTTAAATAAAATTTTTAATAATACACACAAAATTCACATATGATACATTTATTTTTCACATATTGCCCAATAGACTTGATTTCACATATTGCCCTAAACCCTAGACTTGATTTCTCATTTTGCCCAATAGTCTTTGTTGTGGATGGACCATTTTTCCAAAAATTCATGCCAGCATGGCAGAATAAAAGAGCAACATACACTATGAAATTCTCAATTGGTCTGGGATGCTATTAAATTCAATTGAGATTTTAATAGATTGTAATTACATGATTTTAATGTAATGAATTTCAGCTAGATTTGTAATTATATGATTTTACTCATGATTTTATTATATTGCAATTACATGATTTTACTTATGATTTTAATTCACTTAGGATTTTACTTATGATTTTAATAGATTGGAATTACATGATTTTACTTATATTTCTATACAAGCTTGAACTCTATCACCCATCATCATTCACCTAAATACATAACCTGAAGGAATATACCCAATTTTTAGGATATAGAAACCCAATTTTTAAGGTTAATATAAAGATGGAGGCACAATAACCATCAAAGGTTAGTCCAGGGAGAGTACACCGACATCAACAATGTAACTCCAAATATAGCCACACATGGCCAGAATGAATACGTTAAAAAAACACAACACAACTGAGAAACCAACAATAGAAATACAAAAGCATAAGTAGAGGCTAGAAGCTACATCCAAAACCACCAACACCGAATGCAAAACATATAGCACTAGAAATACAAAATAACGAAACATACTGAAAACTTCTAGCCCAACCCCATGACTGCACCTAGTTTTTGTCAAAGCTTGGACCAAAACTGTGGAGTAAAAAAACACCTTGCACCTTATCAATGTTTCTTCAAGATTGTGGGTACGGCTTCTTCTTTCTTTTTTTGTTGTTTTGTCTTGGTCCCAGACATTTTGGGACAGGGAATTAGAAAAAATATTTAGCCATGTGTGCTGTATGTGCAGCAGCTACGTATTAAAAAAAAAAGGAAAAAAAAGGCCTCTTTGAGGCATTAGATCAAGCAACTCGTGGGCACAACGGCAGAGTTGTGAAGGGTTGCAACTCCTTGTGAGGAAATGTCTACAATTAGCATGAGATTCTAAAAAAAAAGTATCGAAAATATAATTTTGCTCCAAATAAGCTTGTCTACAAGGAAAGAAGAGCTATTGGAAAATGCACATTAGCTCCAGAAGAGGCAATATCGTCTTTCTTGTTAATGTTTCTTTATCGTCTCTCTTATGAAAAGTTTTTTTTTTAATGTACAGTCAAATAGTGGGGGAAAAAAGTATGAGAGCATATATGAGATTTGTTATGTGATTTGGTATTTATATCACACACTCCAAAGTCTCACACAACACAACATTTAATGAAATACCTCAAAATCAGTAAGTTTTTGAATACCAAGGTACTTTTTCTTATCTTTTAAAAGTCCTAATTGAATACCACCGGACTTGTTTTGATTATTTAAAAATCCTAATTAAATACCAATAGATTTTTATTGATTACTTAAAAATCCTAATTGAATACCACCATACTTTTAAGCTTCCAAACAATCCATTAAAGTCACAATTGAATCCACCCCTAAATTGCATCTCAGTTTGTTCCAGGCCATGCACTTTCAAGAACAAATATATAGGCTAGATGGTTTTGTTAGCTAAGAGCCTACTTTGGGGGGTGATTTTGGAGCACAAAATGAAGGTCTTCCTTAAAAAGCATTGATTCTTGGAATTGAGGGATGACTTCAAAGGTATAAAGATTGTTGCGAAAAATAAAAAACAATAAATAAATTGAATCCAAGACTTTTCCCAGACTTGTGTAAATTAAATGGACAAACAAAAGTAACACTAAATATTTTCCACTATGAAAACTCTCTAAGTTGTGGTTTTCTGAGGGATGATTTGAATTGACTGAGAATGGTGCCTTTTATAAGCACCATAACCATGCATAAAGGAGAAAAACTCTCCGTTTTCATCTATATGTTTTTCCTATAAACTTTCTCATACACATTTCATTTTCCTTTTGTTTATTTTACTATATATATTTTCCTTCTTTTTCTCTCCTCCACAAAGGAGGGAAACTCATCAATCTCCCCTTCTCAACTTAGGTGGAGGGCTCTAGCAGTCCAGCTGCTCTTCTACAAAATTTGTACTTGTCCTTAGGTAAGGACTTGGTCATCATATCTAAACTGCTATCATTAGTATGGATCTTCTCAAGCTGTAATTGCTTAGACTCCAAGACATCACGTATCTAGTGATATACAATGTGCTTTGACCTCGAGTGAGAACTCAGATTTGTGCTCAAGTGGATCACACTTTGACTATCACAATGTAAAATGTATTTATGCTACTCTTGCCCTAATTCTGGTAGGAATCGATTCATCCAGAGCATTTCTTTACATGCTTCAGTTGCTGCAATAAACTATGCTTCTGTAGTTGATAAGGCAACACATTTCTGTAACTTTGATTGCCCTGAAATTGCTCCTCCTGAAAATTTAATCAGGTATTCGAAAGTAGACTTTTTGGAATCAAGATCCCCTACTATGTTGTCTGCATCTGTATAGCCAATCAATTCAGGTTTTCCACTTCCAAAGCACAAACTCATTTTGGAAGTATCCATGAGATATCTGAGAATCCAATTCATAGCGTTCCAATGCCCTCAGCTTGGTTTTGACATGAATCTACTTACAAAGCCAATTGTGTGTGTTATGTCTGGTCTCATGTAAATTATTGCATACATTAATTACCAACGTCTGAGGAATATGGCCCCATAGCCATATCTTCTTTTTCTTTCTCACATGTACGACTCTGCTTCGAACTAAGCATGATGTGACTAGGAAATGGAGTAGCAACTTGTTTTGCTTTATCCACAAACCACTTTAGTACCTTCTCGATATAAGTTTCTTGTGATAACCGTATCTTCCAAATTTTTCGATCATGGAATATACTTATACCGAGGATTCGTTTTGCGGGTCCTAAGTTGTTCATAGCAAAAAACTTGCTTATCTTTTTCTTCAGCTTGCTAATCTTGTCACTATTTTGTCCTACAATCAACATGTCATCGACATATAGAAGAAGTCTGATGAACTCACATCATCGAATATTTTCACAACTACACAATGGTCTGAAGTAGTTCTCTGATATCTATGTTTAATCATGAAGGAATCAAACTTCTTTCCATATAAACTATTTTTCAAACGACATACTAATTCTTCTTTGCCTTTGATTCTAAATCCTTTTGGCTGCTCCATGTAGATTTATTCTTCAAGATCTCCGTGAAGAAAAACAGTCTTCACATCTAGTTGTTCGATCTAAAGATTCAGGCTAGCAGCCAAACCAAGTACAACCCGTATGGATGATACCTTCACTATGGGTGAGAAAATCTCTTCAAAATAAATTCCTTTCTTCTAACTGAAACCTTTCACAACTAGCCTTGCCTTAAACCCTGGGTTGGAGTTGTTTTCTTCGGTCTTCAGTCGATACACCCATTTGTTCTTTAGTGCTCTTCTACTTTTTGCTAGGTTCACCAGATCATATGTGTGGTTCTCACACAGAGATTACATCTTCATGTATGGCTTTCAACCACTCATCTTTATGATCATGAGTCAATGCTTCTTCATAGTGTTCCGATTCTCCCCCATCTGTTAGTAGAACGTAATCATGTGGTGTAACACCCCGACTCCAAATTTATTGCCCATTTTAATTTATTTAAGTGAAATTACGAAATTGCCCTTGGGGTAGGGGTGATTTGGTCATTTCTTATCCGGAAGGAATTTGAGAATTTCAACTATACCATTGCGTAGAGCACGGCGAGATGAGTCCGTAGAGACGTCTGTAACGAAGAAGTTACAGGCAAAACATCACTAGTGGCAAAATCGTAAATATTTTGAAATGGGTTTTTGGTTAAAAGACAGAAAAGCCCTCAGCTCTCTCTCTCTCTCTCTCTCTCTCTCTCTCTCTCTCTCTCTCTCTCCCGCGCGTCTTTCTCTCTCTCTCTCTCCTCTGGTTCGTGACGCCACCGCAGCCGACCAAGTTTTGGTCGGCCGTTCATTCATCCGGCCACCACTCGAGTCGGGACCAGTCCCAAAATGATCGGCCTGACTCCACCGTCCTGCCCCACCCATTCTCTGACGTCAGCCGGCAGCGATACCGCTGGAAATTGCAGGAAAAACGGCCGGTTTTTACCCAGATTTTTCGGAGCTCGTTCCGGCGATTCCTGCCACCAAATCTTGCGATCAAGGTATGCTTTCTCATCTATTTTCCGAGCTCTAGCTGCCTGTTGGGTAGGAATTGATCAATTTGTAGCGTAGGCAACTCGATTTACGAATTGGATTTCGGCTGAATTTCAGGATGAGATTCCGGCCACTTTCGGTCAGTTTTTGGGGTACGTCCAAGAACAAAAGTGACTCCAAATTAGGTGTATTACCTAGGGTAGGAGTCTTGGCTCTTGATTTGGAAGTTTTCCAGCGATGCAATATCGCTTTGGACACCCACGTGTTGCCGGCGCGTGTGGCGGTGCGTGGGCACTGTAGTTGAGGGGCATTTTTGTCCCACTACGATCCTCTCGATGTCACGAGCGCGTAGGTGTGCTCGGATCTCATTTTAGGTACCGTTAGAGTCCCGAACGGATATCACATATCGCGTATTTTCCGGGTTCGCTAGGTTTGGACCGTTGGATGGTCTTGAAGTTATAATATGTTGATCTAGGTATTTCCAGGATCGTGTAGGATTCGACGGATTGTAAAACGG